CTTCTAAAGTTTGAACACAGGTTTTGTTTTGATAATCCCAAATCTTAACAAGCTTATCATCAGCAGCGGATACTAGATATGGTTTTTCGCCACCATGATAATATTCAACCCAATTCACTCCTTTTTCATGACCCTCAAGTGTGAAATTCGCTAAAGTGGAACCAATAGACCATACTTTAATTGTACGATCCAAACAAGCTGAAGCAAATGTATTCGAGTCTTTGGGATTAAAATTAATGTTCATGACATAATGCGTATGTCCTTCAAATATCTAAAATTATTTAAAAAGTGATGCTTTGAAGTTTTGCATATATATTATATTTAAATAAAAAATAAATTCAAGTCATAAATAAGGGGAAAACCTGAATATTCTTCCATCCTTTCTCCCAATCCCATAATTTAACTGTCATATCATCTGAACCGGTCAAGACAAAAGGTTGAGTAGGATGTATTGCAATGCATCGAATATAATCTGGATGAGCCTCGAATGTTGTAATTTTTTCGTGTGTATTATAATTAAAAACCCGTATTTGCATATCATCAGATCCGGTAATTAACCAATTCTTGCGAGCGATAAATTTGGCAGCACGAACTATATATAAAAATGTTCAACAAAAATATTAAATAAAATTTAACATAAAAATGGATAACATTATTTAAAAATTACCAGGCACGTCCGTAACCTCAAAAGTTTTTACCAGAGCCTAAATATTTCGAAACGAAATTTAAAAGACAATTCATAATCACGATGCAAATCGCGTAAAATTTTTTATCAACTAATTTTTTAAATCAATTTTTTTGCTCATTTAACACTTTGATCTCTCTTAGAAGTGTTAAAAATTATTAATTCATTACCTGTGTTTCATAATTCCAAATGTATACATTACCATTATATAAACTTGCAAGTAACCATGGTTCTGTCGGATGGAAATCTACACATTTTACGCGATCTGAACGGGCAAATAATTTGCGCTGTAATAATACCAATTAAAGAGTCACTAGATATGTACTTTGCACTTTTCAATTTAAGCTACGAAACCAAACTTAAAATTAACCTTGATTTCCAGACGCATTCCCTAACGTTATTTGGAATGGAATTTTATGAAAAGAGAAGAGTAAATTAGTTTCTACAGGTGAAAGTAGAAAAAGTGGTCCACAATCTTGGATAACTTAGTGAATTTAGTAAATCGTACCATCCTGATAAATAATTTTTCCTTCGACTAAATTTAACGAAAAAAAATTTTTTTTTTAAATTTTTTAAATGATCAAATTGATCTGCAATTTGTCATTTCCTTATTCGATATTGATCACGAAAATTTCGCGCCATATTAAAAAAGAACGAAATTTATTTTTTCATACAAATTTTTGTACAAAAGAAACTATGAGGACATAGAGTCGCATTCAAAATTAAAATTTACGCGACATAAATATATAAATTTCTTTTGGTAAAACAACTAAATTAACTAAGAAATTCTATAAAGTAACGTATATCTCGTTCTTATTGAAGTACAAATTAGTGGAAGCGAAAAAGAAGCTTTAAAGAAACGATCGCACGCTACGAAAAGAAAGGAATTTTAGTTGAAGTAGACTTTACATAATGTACAATGTATTAATTTATGTTTTATTCTTTTAAATTATAATCGAGCAATCATCAATTTGAGACAGATCTGTTATCAACAAATTTTTTTTAGCAAGAAATCAACGGCCAAAAAAAGAAATTTGTGATAACAATTCCATTATAGATGAACATGCTCATTTTAAAATTAATAAATGTTATTTATCTTTACATGAAACATTATTTTTAATTCAAGAAGTCGCATATCATCGATGCGACGTATATATATTTTTTTTAACTAAAATATTTACCATCATCAATGAAATGCTCAAAACCACCACTGCCTCCCAAGAAATCAGGATCATCACCAGGACCAAGTCCACCTGGGATTGCTCCTCCTGTAGTAAGCATATGTTGGCTCTAAAAAAAAAAAAAAAGAAGGGTTAATTTTTAAATAAACAACAAAAAAAATGTTTTGATCCATTAAAATCCATACCTTTGTAAGGTATTCTTTACTACATCCCACAAGCCTATCGGTTTTAATGACACGTTCGCTCACAGTGGTAGATTTGTTTATTTGTTCCTCAAGTTGAGTAATCGTGAGTGATGTATCATAACGATCAGGGTTGTCGTGGAAGGATACCATTCCATTCTGATGAGAATGACTAATAGTAGCAAATATCTCACGAGATTCGATCTATTATTATAAAAAATATCTTTGAATGATTGAAACAAAACAAAAACAAATAGTCAATATAATAAATACCATTCTTAAGACGTAATTCTCGGCTATTTTTGGTGCATCACGTCCCTCTAATCCCACTGCATCAGCAATATCGGCCAATGACAATGTCAAATAAGTTTGAGTCAATTGTTGAATATTTCGTCGATAAATTGCACTGAGAGTTTGTTTAGCTAAACCAAGATTTTTATCCTATATAGTAAAAGGAATATTTAATAAATATTATTACAACAATATTAATTAAAATTGTTTTGGTACCTTTCTAAAAATGTCAGTCCATTTGGTGAACTCGTTCCGCAGCCGTTTTACGTTTAAGCTCTCAAAAGCAGATGCATAATCTTGATAAGCTTGACATTGGTTTTTTGCTGAACGATAAACTACACTAGCAGTGTATTTGGGAAGGGGAGCTATCTGCCATATGAAAATAAACCGTGTTAATTACCTTTTCAATTAAGAGATCATAAAACGTTAATAATGTTAATACCTTTCCAAGTAAAAGAAGAGATACTAAGCTAAACTTTTTATATGCTTCGATTTGAATTTGACTAGTAACACTCGCAGGAGCAGAAATAACCTTAATAATAATAATAATAATAAAGTCATTTAATAAATGATTTCTCATAATATCATGTAGAAAAAAAAAAAAATTTGTTTTACCAATCTTAAGAAATAAAGAGCACGTTCGTAATTCTTTAATCCTATGTAAACCATCGCGCCATAATAATGATATAGCAAATGATCTGTATAGAAGA